CCCCCCCGCACACAATTTATCGTTAAATCAATCAAAAAAATTACCAGGATAAGTAGGCTTCATATTTACATAGCTAAAAAAAAAAAAAAAAAAAAATTGTTAACTGATTTTTTTTTTTATGTCACTCCAATATTATAGATTGCCTGCACAGGGAATTGGGTGTTACACCATGATAATAATGTAACAGATAACAACAAAATTAATGAGAACTAATTAAAAGCCAGAATCGCTGGACAGAGTATCCAATCAGAATTCATGGTTCTTTCAGAGAACCAATCAGAATTCATGGTTCTTTCAGAGAACCAATCAGAATTCATGGTTCTTTCAGAGAACCAATCAGAATTCATGGTTCTTTCAGAGAACCTATCGGAATCAACAGCCTCACCAAAGCACATGCAAAATGGCTTTTCCTGAGAAACTGACCACTAATCATGTACTTGGCTGTATTTCATTTGTAATTGACACATACTGACTGTTTGAAAAAGCAATCCAACCAACAGAATTGCAATATAGCTCGCTGATTTGTAAACTAAGGTGCAATGTTGTTCGTTCAAATGCAACACCTTAATGGTATCACTATTGAGCAGCGACCTATATAAATTGTAATAATTTTGGTCTGGTTGCTTTTTCGTTCACATTAAAATACAAGCACTGTAGTCCATTGCTTTAACACAACCAATGTGCCATTGTCTGCGAGAAGTCACTAAACAAAAACTACACTCCTGTGAATCCAAGAAGAATGACACATTGCGACTGCCTCCCTCATCAAAAAAAAAAAAAAAAAAAACTACTACAAATGGAATTTTCAAAAAAGTTTACTTTTCAATGCAAAGAGAATATCTAAATATATAAAGAGATTTATCTGCAACGTATACAAGTTTTACTAACATTAATTGGCTCAGGAAACAAAAACAACTTGAAATCGAAAGTAAATGATTTAATTCATTTAGTGAAGTATAAAGATACAGCTGGGATCTACTATGGTGCAAAAAAATATAAAGCTCAAAGTATGTATGTATATATATATATATATATATATAATATATAATACAAAGGTCTATTATATTTATATTGAATATTCCACTTTTTACTGACACAAAGATAACATTGAATTTAGCGTTACATTTTGGGGGGTTACAATTTATGTTACATTTTTAAAATACAGAATGTATGGTTCACATTGGGGGAATAATCACTATCAGTAATAGTTTAAACAGATATATTGTATGCAAAAGCAGAGTTAAAACTAAAAGGGAAAAATGTGCACAAGCCAGTATCAAGATTATTAACCTTGTTTGCAAATACAATCATGAAATCAACAATTTCCATTGTCTAATAATTACAGACGTGAACAAAGTCATTTTCAATGATTCAGTATTCAATATATGCAACTCTCTGTTTATAAGTGATTCTAATAGACTAGATATAATACTCTGGAGTGCAAAATTTGAGCGGCTTTTGCTAATATACTGTAATATCAAACTTTTTTTTTTACTGCTTGTTAATTATTTCACTTTTTGAATGCCATTATTGTTCCTGCCATCAATTTGGCACATTATTATTATTTTATAATTTTTGTAAATTCGGAACAAAATAGATATACAGTGAACGGCATAAACCTGGGGTAGTTTTAGAAATATTAATTTTTACAAATCAAAATGGCTGTTAAAGACTTTAAATTGACCAATCGAGAAATGGTATTGTACCATCATCGTTTAACGAGTTATAGTTCAACTTTATCCAATCAGCAAATGCTTCATTTTGAATCGGCAGTTGCTATGTCACATGAAGGCGAGCGAGTGTATCATGAATGTAGCAATGTTAAGATCTTGAGCCAATCACTATTGAATATTTGAATTTGAAGGCTCTTAATGAATATTTACAGTTTTCCATAAATATATAGCACTTTTAGCCATTCACAATAAGGAAAATTATGCACGTTCACTTAGTGAAAGTTTGGCAAAGGATTAGCGATAAATTATCTATTTCTGTCAACAGATAACAAATTCCAGTTTATTGAACCATCTAATAAATTCCACAATAAATTGAAAGATAAATGAGTGATAGTTTAAGAAATGTAAAAACACAACCGCTTCGGCGGGTTAAAAAAAAAATTAAAACCAATCGTACATTACTAATTTCTGCTAACATGATAGACCAATGAGAGAAAAGTAAACTAATTTGAATGTTGAGGGCGCACTAACATTTTTGTGCCAAAGAGAGGCTCTGGAGGTATGTTAACCCGAATGACAATTTTGAAAATGATGTTGACTCTAAATGTAAACTAAATAAAAGTTTATACGCGAGGAAAGCGTGGTTCCTTTAACACTGAGTGCAGGCTATATACACATGTAGTGATTCACAGAATATACAAATCAGTCATTTTATCATGAAACTTTACATTTTCTTTGACAGACAAATCAACCTGAACAATTGATGATAGTTAACAGTACATTTTTAGTAGAACATTGTTTTGTTTTGTTTTTTTAAAAAAAAAAGTCCATTTCAAAACCTATACTTTTCACCCAAAGCTTGTAATTAATCTAATTCTTAATGGTTTAGGCAAAAAATACAAACAAACACTGTCACTGGAAATCTAAAAGATCATGGATCCAGCTTGTGTAAACTGTACTGTGCAGATTGCTCAAGATAATGAGCAAACTTTTTCTAATGAAACATATTTCTCGTAAATCCACACAGGAATGTTTCCTTTCTTTTGTAATAATTACAATTGTTTTAAAAACATTTTTTCAAGTTTTACTCTGAAACCCATCGACTATAAACAGTGACAGAATTTCCCTGAAAAAAGATAACTCAGGCACTTGGATTACACAGAGCTTCCACAACCAACATAATGATATCACCAAGCATGTTTTCAATTTGGCTTTAGCCCAATTCATACACATTCCTATAACAAACTCAATATAGCGCCCCCATCAGTAATATTTACAATAATTTATTGGCCAGCATTTCTACGCAACTGTGTGAAGATGTTTGGATTGTGTTTTTTTTAAATAAAGGTTTCAAGCTTACTGACGGAAGCAGGAACTGTTAGTGTTCACTTTTTGAGCAACCAATTTCACAGTTGACCTTGGCTAACAGGCGAGTATGATGCAGAACAGGGAAAAACACACAAACAGATTTACGAAAACCTCAAATGTGCAGCAATCCCACATGACACTGACGGTTTGTAAACATTTCAGAAATACGAAGCGACCAATTTAAATCAGTCATTTGTACATTGGCATGCCATCAGACATCACAAAATTCAATTCTTCGTTTAAAAAAAAAATCAACTCAAGCTACATATACAACTTACTCAAATTTGATACTAAATTATATCAACACCGTATTATGTAATCACCCCCACATAAAAATGGTACAAACCATAGTGATAGAAGTTGGTTCAAACTACTACAAACACAGGGGTGACAACTGAGCACAAGATGTGGAGGGAACACATCAAAAAGTATGGCACTGTATTTTCACTGCCAGCTCTTAGCCAGGGAAATCTTTTAACCCCTTCCACCCCTATTTAAAGTGGAATACTGCACATAATAAACCACTAGATATACACCGATTGGGGTGAACAACGATTTTGTATGACAGAAGAAACAATTTTGAGAAACTAAATTTAAAAAAAATTAATAAGCAGACATGTGTTTTATATATATATATTGTATCTTTCAATTGCTGCTTGGTGCTTCCAGCATTTCCATCAAAAACGTATCAATTGGTGTGTCACCGATCAGTTTGAAGAAAAATAAATGTTCCAGACACTTGAGGCCAATTGATCGCAGAGCTGGCAGACGGAGAAGAAGTTTGGCAAATCGACCAGGTTCATCTGGGTAAGTCTTCCTACAATATTCTTCCAGCGAAGCATAAACTTTCTCTCGTAGCTCTTCAACCTTCTGAACAGTTCCAAGATTCTTAGCATCTATAAATAATTAACACAAAAAATTGTTAACAATGACGACGACGACAACGAGAGACGCACAAGATCCCTCATGTAACCAGTCTGTACATAACATTACATGCAGTAAAACTAGAAAGCTTCAAGAAGAGTATTATTTCGATTGGCATTGCAATGAAGTGAATACTATATGTATTTTTAATTTAGACAATCAAAAGACCAATGTGAAGCAATATCTGTGATGTTTTTCCCAAACAAGATGTAACCTGGAACTGCATTTTTTGACCTGATGGGTCAAGCCTGTAGTTGACCATCAGAATGCAGTGTGGTATTGGCCCAAAGTATACATAAATATTTTGACATTAATTCAGGTGAAAAAATGTTTAAAGCGGGGGAGTCGTCACCTGCGCATGCGTCAGATGGCCATAGCGTGTCATTGTTCACAAACAAGCGTCTACCCGTGAGCCTTTGTGTTTTTAGTGTGTGTTATCGTCGCTTGGGACTCAATTCCTGTGCGTGCGCAGGTGACGACCCTCTCGCTTTAACAATTTTTGAAACATAAAATGATGCAGTATTTAACATTCGTCATGGTGATAACAGCTCATTGTCAAATCAAAGAAAGCTTAGAAAGAACTCCCATGTGCTGACAGTATTGAAGACACATTAAATATAATTCGAAATTACTTAGCTGAAAACTAATTATGCAAATCAGAAAATTAATATGACCAGATTTGAGTGTAAAACTAATGAGGTCTGCGCAATGTAACAGAAAATCTATGTCTCCAAGTTTAATTGAAATGAGATTAGAACCAAAAAATTATGAATTATTATGCTTATTAGGGAATTAATATGAACAGATTTTTACCCCAAACTAATTAGGTTTGTACATTGTCCTAGAGCAT